GCCTCTTTTTCAAAACCTGCATCTTCTTTCAAAATGGAGTCCGAATGTGTTGAAAGTAACCCTCAAACTGGAGATCGCCGAAAATTTCGTTCAAAAAGAAGAAAAAAGAGGAAAGGTTTTATGGGGAAAACTAAAAAAGAAGTCTTAGAAAGACAAGAAAAGACCAAAGATATATTTGAACCTGGAAATTTGGCCTCAGAAATAGAACAAACAGGAACGGACGACATTGGGAACATAGGCCCAAACACATCAGCTGATTCTCATGACACGCTGAATGTCTCACAAACAAAACTAACTGATGGTTCACTCTACTGCATTAGTAAAAGAGCTATAACAAGGTCATATGCTGAGAAAGTTGGACTTAAGAGGGAGAAAAGAAACAGTTTAACATCAGGAAACGGTATAATGGACAAGGAGTTGTTAATTAACTGCATTAATAAAGCAACAATTTGTAGACACTGTAAGAGTATGAAAACTTCATTCAGTTTAAAAAGGGCTGGCAGTGATGGCCTTGCACAGCATTTAATCCTTGTTTGCAGCAACTGCCAAGCAGAAACAGAGCTAGAATCTAGTGGAAAGTGTCATTCTTCCGACAGAGTTGATAAGAAGGGAGGACGTACTGCATACGAGGTAAATCGCAGATCTGTTTTGGCCACAATTGGTTATGGACTGACTGGATTGAAGAATTTCTGCGCTTTGATGAATCTACCAGAACCAATAGCTAAAAGGGCCTATAATAATAGCATGAAAACCATTGAAAGAGGGTGCATTGGTGTAACAGAATCTCACATGAGTAATGCAGCAAATGAATTGAGAAGAATAACTGAAGAGGAAAACAAGGATCAGATAGAGCAAGATAAAGACCACAGGAAAATTGCAAAAGTTGCAATTACAATAGATGGAACATGGCAGAAACGAGGATATACATCCAAGAATGGCATTGTTTGTGTTATATCTGTAAGGACAGGTAAAGTTCTTGACTATGAAGTTTTGTCAGTTGTTTGTTTTGAATGTCGTGCTCATGAAGCTGAGGAAAAAGACACAGACAGGTACATGTCCTGGTGGCAGAAACATAAGGATCTATGTCCAATTAATCACACAGGGGCAAGTGGGGAGATGGAATCTAAAGGAGCAATCAGAATGTTTCTTAGATCAATTGAAAAACGTAGGTTGAAATACACCACAATGGTTGGTGATGGTGATACTGGTTGCTACAGTCATGTTTGTGAAGCACTTAAAAGAGCATATGACACAAGTTACATTGTTTCTAAAGAAGAATGTGTTGGTCATGTTCAAAAAAGAATGGACACATGTTTGAGAGAGTTGAAGAGAAAATCAAGGGGAAAGAAGATTTCAGATGGTAAAGGAATAGGGGGAATAGGAAGGTTGACTGATAAAAAGATTGATAGCATTCAGAACTATTATGGTCAAGCAATCAGACAAAACAGTGGAAATCTCCTGCCCATGAAATCAGCAATTATGGCTATTTTGAAGCACATGGTAAGAGACAATAATGCATCACTTGAGGATCAGCATAGCTTTTGCCCTCAAGATACCACAACTTGGTGCAAGTATGTTAAGGACAAACAAAATAGTACTGCCACATATGATGATAGCAAGAGGCTTCCAAATGCTTTTCTTACAGAGCTGAAACCAATCTTTGAAAGACTGTCAGCAGATACATTGCTGAAGAGATGTCTTTTGGGTATTACCCAAAATCAGAATGAAGCCCTTCATGGGGTTCTTTGGCACATTTGCCCAAAAACAACGTTTTGTGGAAAAAGAAGACTAACCATATGTCTTTGTTTGGCAATTTCAAAGTTTAATGTTGGGCAGTCTAGTATTGATGATATAATGGAGTCATGCAACATGTTACCAAGACAGAAAACCTTATTTGCATTGAGAAAGTTTGACGCAAAAAGACTCACAGATACAGCTACAAAAGTTTCAGCAAAATATAAGAACCGCCGTCGACTGCTTCGTGCAAAGAGGTTAAAAAAACTGATGATAAAAGGAGTTATGTTTCAGGTGGATATGGTTTGACCTCAACACCAGAGTTTTCAAAGACTAAGAAGAGGAAAGGAAATTCAGAAAGTTTGGTCTCTAAGAAGAAGCCTAGAAAAGATAATGCCGTTGATGGAAAACACATAACTGCTGAAAAAACTGATCTATTAACTGATACATGTCATTTTGAAAAAGAACCAGACATTATTTTTGCTTTACCTTTAGAGGAATTCACATGAGCATGGTCTCAGGGAGGCAGGAACTTGTAATATCTAGATTTTCTCTAGAATCTCATTTCTAAATACCTGTAACATTTAAAACAAACTTTAACTGCGATTTTCTCAAATTTTAAATTTACGGAGTGTTGTTGAGTTGTGGCTACTGTAATTTCTCCCTAGATTAACATATACTGACCAAATTTTGAGGTCCTGTACAGTTTTAAATGCTCTATGCAATGAGTGATTGAAAATTTGCATTTGAGGCAAAAAAATTTTTTTTTGATCAGAATGAATGTTTTTTGGCAATTTTTATTTTCAATTGTGCAAAATGAAAAGTTTAATCACTCATTGCAGATAACTATCTTTGTTATATACTCTGTGCAAAAACTGGAATGATTGGTCAATTACTTTTTCCAAACTATTTGCCAAAAGAACTCTAGTCGTCGCCATGTTTAAAGGGTTTCCATAGAAACTAAAAGACCACACCCAATTTTCAATTAATATTTTTATGTGTAAACTATTATTCATTGCTTGTATAAAGTTTCAAGCTAGTATCCCTTGTTGTTATAATCTTTTTGGACATTTTCCAAAATTGTTTCATCAATGTATACATCCACCTTAACTTAGAATTTATTCAGGCTGCCAGAAATAGTTAGGTTCTTTTATGCGGGTTTATACATACTGTAAATCATGTTTAGCACAGTGATTTTGTGCTAGGGAGCTGAAGGGAATCAGCTTCCGTTGCAAAAAGTAACAATATTACTTCTTATTGGTATGGGTGGTTGGGGGGTATTTTGAGTGCACCCCTTGCCCCTGTTCTTTTCGTAGCTCTACCCCCTGGGATGACAAAAATATTGCCATTTTTCACATTTAATAAATTATGTACAATCTTTCCTAATTTGTTTCCTTTTTTATGAAACATTAGACCCTCAACTGGACAATGGATTAGCTACTGTCACTTTGTAAAACAGATTAAGCCCCTATTCTATATTTCTAGCATTGTTGCTCTCTCCTCTCAATAGCGCAGAGTGTATAGGCCAACTACTGTTGCGCTAACAAATTTGAGCGATGTTGTTATATCCATCCCTCTAAGCGGGCAGCTTTTATTCAGTTCTTTTGCCATGTGACAAAAGGTCTTGGTCTTTTCCGAGAAGTTTCTCGACAGAAAAAAACGAGCTTTAACTTTGTGTTTGCTGTTCGCATTTGATTTTGCTAAAAGTTTTCTGCTTTCCAGCCACTCCGACTAAAATAAAAAGGGTCCTTACAGGATACAGAAAGAACCAATCTCTCATATGATGTATTTTTGAAAGTGCCCTGCTTGTAGCTCAATCAGAACCTTAATTGTCTTTTACAGGCAGGCAACGCGCAGCCATTGGGCTAGCAGGGGCTTACCCTAGGTACCAGACTTATATAGTGAGTCTGGTACCCAGGGTAGCAGGGGCTATAACCCAGGCCCGTCGGAACCGGGGGGGCTGGGGGGCTGGGGGGCTGGAGCCCCCCCAATAATTCTCAAACTATGGTATGTTTCCTTTATAACAGTGTACTGAATGAGAAGGATAACAATGGGCAGCCCCCCCCCAATATGAATTTCGTTCCGTCGGCACTGTAACCCCTCCACTTTTTTGCGATAGTACGTTAGGAAACGTTCATGAAAGTTTACTCTAACTATGGTCTAACTAAACATTGAATAGTATACTCCTAAGAAGTAGCAGTTTTTCTTGACTGGGAACTTTTTGTTAATTTTCTAGGTGTTTTTATAGATGTTTTATTATCCCCAATCTAATTTTATCTATTTTTATAACTATTGATATCTTCCCTGAACCAGGTTGTTTATAAAACCCCAGTAGAAATAAGCCAGTATTTTCTAAAAGTTTTCGGCGTTCTAGAGGGCGTGGCCTAAAAAAAATCGGTCACGCCCTTTTCAGCCCTCCCACATTTAGACTGGTGCGCGGTCCCTGTTTACAGGCTATACAGAACTTTAACGAAAAACAGAATAAACTACTGATTTGTTTATTCTGTGCACTAATGATTTTCACAGGAAATATTGTTCGGATTAAAATTCTTTTTAGAAGCTAGGCCGTTGAATTTCAGTGATTATTAACACTGAATGATAATTAATCACAAAAGAGGGTGATAAAGAATTTCCTCTTTCTAATTCTCTAATTTTCAACGGCCCCATTTTGCCTAAGAGTCTTTTTGATTCTGATTTCGATTGTGATAAAATCGTCTCGGATAGGTGTTTACTCTGCCCCGTTCAAAACAGTCCCGGATCAAAAATTCGTTCGCTTTCAAAGCAGGGTCAAAACTGTTCCGGATAGCAGAGCAAAATCGTCACGGTTCCACATTGCTAGTGCAAACGGAAGGGCGAACCGCGACAGTTTTGTCACGGTTCCAAACTTGCGCGGGACAGTGTAAACGGGGTCTTAGAAAAGAGGAAATTGTTTTTCAGGAAACCGGACTGATTCTAGAACAAATAGCATGGACGAAGAAAGTTCGAAAAACAATGCGTTCGAATTACTTGTAAGGGGTTTACTTTGCTAAATATTTTTCAACAGAAATATCAATAAGTCGATGAAACTTTATTATTCATTTGCCTTCTTGAGAAAGGGTTGAAGATGCTCTGCCAACTTCTACGATTATAGCTCCAGTTTTCTACAAAACCTTATCTATAGCGTATTAAAAATAAGGAAAATTTCATGCATCTCCTCAGTCCCTCCCCCCGGCATCGCGTTTGTGACACGTGACATCGAACGGTGTTGTTACTTGCCTGTTAGCACAATGAATTGAATGTGAAATAACAAGTACCAATACCGAGCCGACGGTTACTTTTACCGAATTCACAGAAGCATTTAAAAATCAAGGAATGAAAGTTTTTATGCTGCACAAAACTAGAGGTGTCAAGTCTATGGTGTTTTCGTTTCCAAACAATTGCCATCTAAAAAGTGACTAAATCTGACACTGTTTTGAAGAAGGACATGGCTTTCCGTAAAATACTGAGACCAATTTCCAAAGTTGTTGCACAAAGATGCTTCGTGCAGGTTTGTTTGCATATTCTTACACGGTTTGAAGATTGTGCCTATCTTGAATGAAATTTTCTTGTAAATCATTAAGGCATGTTTCATCTCAATTATATCAAATTTTGCTTTTGCTAATTGATCTGGAACATTTTGAGCAGCAACCAAGAGCTGGAATCTTAAGGTGTGTGGATGATAAGATTTGTTTCGCGATCCTAGTATATGAATTTTCTTTAGTCAATCCTTGACCTTTGTTCGAAAATACAATCGAAACAACAGACAAAATAAACGTTGAAAATCGACGGAAAGCAACAATTTTTAAAAGTAAGAGTTCAAAAACTATGTTTCTATGCAATGCTTCATTTTGAATTGCTAGTCGCTCATTATTCGAGGTTTGCCTTTTCTTTGATAAACATGGAAAGAGCCGGCAAATGGTATTTGGATTTGTACCCAGTAGTATTTGGAGCGGCTGGTTGCACACTAAAGTAATCAAAAGCTAATAGTTAAAATGGGTGTGTCACAATAGTTACAGCGAAGAAGTCATGGAACAAAAATAACGTAAATTGCAACAAAATATCACTGTTCTTGCTATATCTCGTATCTCTTAATATGAAAAGTATATATCTTCTTTTCTTTAATAATTCCTTTTTTATACTATTTTTAGAGAATTACCTGCCAGGAATCACTACTAAGATGTAAATAGTTAAGATCTATTTACTTGGCAGGTTAGAATTACCATATAGGTTCATTCGTCTTGAAGATCAAATTCTATATCAAAGTCAGAGGACTGTATAATTTCTTATTCGAATTCATATGCAAGATAAAGTATAAACATCAGCGAATATAATGACATAAAAAACCACGAATTGTTAATCAGAGAGAAGAATTAACGTCCAGAGAGAAGAAAATAACGTAAGAATTTTAACGAAGTCACCTCGGTCCATCAAGGTCTTGATTTAGTATTATTTTGAATATCGTTCTTTACGTGAATCGTTCGCATCTATCTTCCTTCATCGTGACTGTCGTTCGCATCTATCGCGAGTTCTTTTTGAGATATAATTCACGTCGTTCACGTCGTCGTCGTTCGTAAGCAAGAAATCTTCTTTTCAACTGAATTCAATCAACAACACCAACAACTATATACAAAAGAAAGAGAGAAAGAGAGAAAGAGAGAAAGAGAGAAAGAGAGAAAGAGAGAAAGAGAGAAAGAGAGAAAGAGAGAAAGAGAGAAAGAGAGAAAGAGATAGGAAGGAGCGCTCACAATTTCCTACACTGTTCTTGCTATATCTCGTATCTCTTAATATGAAAAGTATATATCTTCTTTTCTTTAATAATTCCTTTTTTATACTATTCTGTAAGTAATTCTTTGCGCAACTGTCACGCTTTGCGACTATAATTAGAAAAACCGGCCTAATACTGCATGAAAATGCAAACCCAGTTAATTTCTGAAGACAACTGCCGCTAAGCATGCCGGTTGCGCAAGAGCTTTTAAAGATTGACAAATAAACTTTATACACGATTGTATGATTTTGTACCACAAATAAACTGCTTGCGTGGATATAGCTAAAATTTAAAATTAAAAAATGGAGTTGTAGTTTTTTAACAGTGCAAGAAACTGTGTGCTGTATCGCTTGGGTAAGCAGCGTTATTACCAGGTGCTTCGAATGGTTTGTGGCATATATTTTTTACGCTTGACTTCCAAGTTCGCAAGCCAAACCACATATACAAAAGCTACATTTCCTTTGAGTAATAACGTTTATACAAAGACGGAGGACGGACTAACCATTTCAAATGCACCACCTATCCTGGGTACCGGACTCACTATGTATAAAATAAAATAGAGAGTCTGGTCCACTGATCTATAAAAAAGACTGGATCGAGCTTCTAATGTGACCAAAGTGTCGCCATCCGAGAAGAGGGCCCCAGAACAGCCCATGCGAGGAGACGGCCTTCTCTGTCACCCCTTGCAATGTTTTCAGTGGCCTGCGTTCCAGACCCCTAACTTGAAAGTAGAGGGTCTGTGTTACCGAGAGCAAAATCGCGTACGAGAGTTTCCTAGTATCTCTGGAAAAATCAATTATGCAAAGAATTATGCGGCATTCACATTTCAAAAGTGAACAACAGCGTGAACAAAGCGTCGTTTGCCGGGGCAGTTTACGCATTCAACTAGCAAAAAGAAATGAATGCAAGTTCAAAGTTTCTTTTTATTTTGTCTGACAATAATGCCTGAAAGCCTTGAATATATCATGACGCCTAGATAATTGCCGCCCGGCGCGAGGATAGAAACACTTCAAAAACCGGAGGATGAATTTTTATCAAAGCACACGCTTGTTACGCTTGTTATTGATAACTCTTCTCTTATGTATTAATGAAGGTTAAAAAATCATTTTAAACATCAGAATTTCTAATTTCAAACAACAAACTTAGAGGACGTGTTTATAGCAAAGCAATCACTATAATGAAGAAAAGAATTGATGAAAAGTACAAGGCATATGCCTAGGCCTACCGCCTCTCAGTTAGGCAGCCTTGTCCGGATCAATGATAAGTGTTTCACTAGTCTTCCACTGTCTTAAACTTGCGTATATAAGCAGGCATCATTTTCTACGGCTTGAAGGCAAAGCGTCTTTTTACATTTCGGTTTCCATTTCTT